TTCTGGGGTTTCTCCTCATCCTTTTGAGGTCTTCACGTTGCTATAGGGTCCCCTAAATCCTTTTGGGGTCCCCCACATCCCTTTAGGGTCCTCCCTTTTAGGGTCCTCCACATCCCTTTGGGCTCTTGGTTTCTCAGTGTCCCTTTTCTGGGGTTTCTCCTCATCCTTTTGGGGTCTTCACATTGCTTTAGGACCTTCCACATCCCTTTAGGGTCCCTCACATCCCTTTAGGGTCCTCCCTTTTAGGGTCCTCCACATCCCTTCGGGCTCTTGCTTTCTCAATGTCCCTTTTCCAGGGTTTCTCCCCATCCTTTTGGGGTCTTCACATGGCTTTAGGACCCCCCACATCCCTTTAGGGTCCTCCTTTTGGTGTCCTCCATGTTCCTTTTGGGTTCCTCCACATCCCTTTGGGCTCTTGGTTTCTCAGTGTCCCTTTTCCAGGGTTTCTCCTCATCCTTTTGGGGTCTTCACATTGCTTTAGGACTTCCCACATCCCTTTAGGGTCCCTCACATCCCTTTAGGGTCCTCCCTTTTGGGATCCTCCATGTTCCCTTTGGGCTCTTGCTTTCTCAGTGTCCCTTTTCCAGGGTTTCTCCTCATCCTTTTGGGGTCTTCACATCGCTTTAGGGTCCCTCACATCACTTTAGGGTTCTCCGTTTTAGGGTCCTCCACATCCCTTTGGGCTCTTGCTTTCTCAGTGTCCCTTTTCTGGGGTTTATCCTCATCCTTTTGGGTTCTTCACATTGCTTTAGGACCTTCCACATCCCTTTAGGACCCTCCACATCCCTTTGGGATCCCCCACATCCCTTTAGGACCCTCCACATCCCTTTGGGGTCCCCCACATCCCTTTGGGGTCCCCCACATCCCTTTAGGACCCCCCACATCCCCTTAAAATCCCCCATTTTTTCTCCCCTTCAGCTCCTACTTGCACTGCGAGTGGGCCACCATCGACCAGCTGGAGAAAGACAAGAGGATCCACCAGAAGCTGAAACGTTTCAAAACCAAGATGACACAGATGAGGCACTTCTTCCACGAGGTGAACCTCCCCAGGAGGGGGGTTGTTGACTTTTTTGGGGGGGAAGGGGGGGGCTAAAAATGCCACGTTTGGATCCTCATCCTTTATTTTTTCCACTTGAAAAAAGGACGAGGAGCCTTTCAACCCCGATTACGTGGAGGTGGATCGGATCCTGGATGAGTCCCACAGCGTTGATAAAGACAACGGGGAGGTGAGCAGGGGGTTGTAGGGCACACACACATCAATGTTGTGATCCTAGAAATGCTGTCCTTAACGACCAAACCCCCTTTTTTTTAACCCCCATCCTCAGCCCGTGGTTTATTACCTGGTGAAGTGGTGCTCCCTGCCCTACGAGGACAGCACCTGGGAGCTGAAGGAAGACGTGGATGAAGGGAAGATTGGGGAATTCAAACGGATCCAAGCACGCCATCCGGAGCTCAAACGTTTGGTGGGCGTCCCCTCAACCCCCTTTTTAGGTTCACAACCCCATCACAGAATCCTTAAAACCACACCTTCAGCTTGGAAAAGACCTTAAAGGTCATCGAGGATCCAGACAAACCATCCGAACTCTGACACAACCCTCAGCTAAATCACCTCAGCAGCTCGTTTTTAAACACATCCAGGCCTGCTGACTCCACCACCTCCCTATGGAAGCCCTTCCTGCAAAGATTTTCTTCCTCATATCCAAACCAAACTCCCCCAGGTGCAACCAGAGGCCATTCCAGCTTCAAATCCCTTCCTGCAAAGATTTTCTTCCTCATATCCAAACCAAACTCCCCCAGCTGCAACCTGAGGCCATTCCAGCTTCAAATCCCTTCCTGCAA